TAAACTTGTTCCGTGGAAATGTATTAGGTACCTATTCCATGTTACATCATACAGCCCTAACTATATGCATGTATGATAGCTCGGAGAACATCATAAATCATGTCAGGGCCAGTATTTTCATTTTACCTACCTTGGGTAGTATTTTTAAGTACCTACCCATCTTTACCCTGAGTATAGCCAAGTAGCTTGGTTTTTGTGTCCTCCATGCTTTTGCTATGGGCATATTTTTGTGCGAGACCTCAGAATCAGACTTTAGAGCGTGCTCTCTCAATTATGAGTTCTTATATATAGAGTGTGCTGACTTTAAACCGATTGTTGTACAATTTCGTCATTAGTGTAGAGCTTGTGTAACAAATAACAATTTAACTAAGTAATTATGAATTTCAGTGTCTACCATTGATCAGAATAGCTGGGTTTAATAATTTGCCAGAGACCAAAGGTTGTAGTAAAAAATACCTTTGTTGGATTATGGCCAAATAGTAGGTACCTGTAAACATACCTATTGCTCATGTTTTGTGTTTTCTACAGATTCATCTATCTGGTTTGCTCATTTTGTGTATTATTACCTCATACCTGTATTTCCAGCCAAAATATTGAAATTTTTGTGGTCATGTGTCCTTATTTATTCAGCAATGAAATCATTCACCTTGAGGTGCATCAATTGTTAATCCAGCCAATTGTTAATCAATTAAATCCTGCTACTGTGTGGTGGGTTCAATGACCTTTGCAATGTGAGCATTTGTTGACATGCATTCCTCCTTTTCGGATTTTTTAAAAAGATTTTCATTCAAGAAGTGTGAGCTAGCTGAAATATTTTCAAGCAAAATTAGACTGATAAACTTCATGGACATATTCATAGGCAAAGTGTGTATAAACTGAATATAAATATAGGCTGCAGCCATAAAGTTAAATTATGAAAAGGTTTTAAGTTTTGAAATTACAGATACTTAACTAAAGCTGCTCAATATTCATTACAGAGGTAAATGGAAGTGGATACTGGGACTCACGCCTATATTGTCTACCATGGTAACAAAGGATCTCCTTGTTACAGATTACGCAGGCCTATGTTTCAAAGCAAAGCCTTCCGCCGCTTTCTGGAAGCGTGGCCAGGGAAGCGGACGTTCGGCATCTACCGGTTTCTTCCATTTTTCTTCGTTCTGGGAGCGGCTCTCGAGTTTTCCATGATCAACTGGCACGCCGGAGTCGCCGGAGAGATCAACTTTTGTAAGTTATGGCAAGGTTTGCCGTGATGGTGTCTTAAACAGTGTGTCTCGGGACTGGCGATTAGAAAGTCCTTACACAGAACGGGGATATGTAACTGATTGAATTGCGTCGCCGTAGAATCCCGATGGCGCCGTTAACTGTGGAGTCGTTTGTGGAGAATTCGACTCGGCTGCGGAACCAGCTGAGAGCGGCGGAGCTGGCCTGGCAGCGCTGGCTGTCCGAGGACGCTCAGCAGGAGCTCCGTCAGCAGTTGCGCCCTGCCTCTGCGTCTCAGCCGCCGGCCGGCGACGGCTGCCGCCAGCTGGTCGGACAGGTGAACCGTGTGCGCCAGCGGGTGATCCGACTGCGCGAGCTGTGCCAGCCGCCGCTGCAGCGCTCCGACCTACCCGTCATTGAGCGGCTGGCCGAGAGCGTCCGACAGCAGGCGGTCAGCGTGTCCGAACGCTGCGCCCAGCGGCGCAAAGAGCTCGACCAGGAGCAGACGGCGCTGGAAGGAGTGCTGGACGGACTCTGCGAGCGCATGCGCCGCTGGAAACTGGAGAGTCAGCGGCGGCCGGCCAGCGCACCTGCCGTACACGCGCCCAGCCCGCCGCCGCCGGCGCTGACCGCTCAGAACGAGGCGGTGGCCGCGTATGATGCGTACCTGGCACAGCACGGTGGTCCGACCGGCGGGTGGGACGCAGACGACCACGCACTGTTCCTGAAGCTGCGCACGCGACACCGCTCGGTCGCTCGACAGTGTCGTGCCATTGCTCACAAGATGACCAACAAGTGTATGTCGGAGGTGGTGCAGCACGTGCAGTGGTACGAGCGTCTCCAAGAGCTGGCCGAGCGGCGCCGGCAGGCCATTGCCGAGTGGAGGGCGTCCAGGACCGCGCAGACGGCGGCTGCCGTGTCAGCAGGGCCCACAGACGGAGACGGAGCCCCCGGCGGCGGCTCCGTCAAACGACCCCGCCGCCGGCCCCGGCCCCGCTCCCGGCCAGCGAGACATACCCGGCCTCCGGCGCCGGTGGCTCCCCCGCCCCCTCCGCTGCCGCTGGTGGTGTCTCAGAGAAAGGAGCGCGAGCTGGCGGCGCAGCGGGCGGCGGCCGCCGAGCTGCGCCGCCGCCGCGCGCAGCAGCAGCAGCTGCACGCGCGCCAGCAGCAGATGGAGCAGCAGCGGCAGCGGCAGCTGCGCGCCCAGCTGGCCGCCAACGCCCTGCCCGTCTTCCGTCAGCGTGACGCGCTACTGACGGAGCGCCGCAGCGCCGCCCGCCAGCAGCGCTCGGCGGCGGCGGCGGCGGTGGCGCGGCCCCGCAGCGCGCCGGCGACCACCCGGCCGCGGTGTCCTGCCCGACTGCTGGCAGACACCAGCTCCAGCCTGCGCCGGCGCCGGTGGCAGCCGAACGGGGAGACGGCCGCGGCCGGCCCGGTCACCGTTGGCCTGGCGGCTCTCCCACGCAGAGCAGTGCCCGCCTGGCGGGCCGGACTGTGACACACGGCGAAGGTCACTGCGGGCTCGCGCGAGCCGCCGCCGCGCAGCTGCTTGTTAGTGGAGTCGATACGGGTTGAAGCCGCGACATCAGCACCCTGTGTAGGGCATGCGGCAGTTCAAGAGAGCAATGCCATCAACCGAGTTAGTGAAAACCACAGCCCATAGACACCCTTCGTTGAATCAATGCTGGCGCATAAGACTCCGTCTCGAGAGTGGGAGAAGACCATATGTACTAATAGCAGGAGAGCCAGTCAGTCAGAATTGTTCTTTCTGACGGCAAGTGACGCCAGTGACTGACTCTAATTGAGTCTATCATGGCGGTGTTCTACTGAACTGGGGGAGTTGGGTGGTTTTTATCGTCTATGGCGGAGTTACGGCTGTATGGGAAGTGTTGCGTCTTCACGGTGCTTCTAAGTAGCTGCCTTCCTAAAACATTGGCTGTGTTGAATGTTCTCATATATGCACGCGTCAGCAAGCACTGTAAATATGTGGCTGTCAAGTGTCATTGCATTTCCTTAAATTACTTAGTGATAAATAATACTATTTTCATATCACCCGTCATCCATTATCAAGAATCATCACGATGCTCAAATATATTTACTTTTTGCAACTGATCTTTTGGTCTGAGTTTTTTTAATGCAAATGCGCTCATTAACCAACTAATTTCAACTTAGAGTGCAAGTCAGTGTATTGCCGCCAACCCTACCGTACCCGTGGCTCACCCACCGACTGAAGCCTGGACTCTGCCGCTCCGCAGACAAAACGTACAAACGACGCGAGGCGCAGAGGACGCTCGACCGAACCGGGGACTGAGGCGGGTGAGCTGAATCGGCTAAAACTCGCCATATCTAGCCACATCAGTGCTCCAACCGTCAGCCAGGCACAGCAGACCGCGATACAGCGAGACAGTTGAGTCGAGCTCAACTTGAACCGTGTCTAGTCTGAGTCTGACCTGTCCCGCGTCCAGAAGAAACAATTGCGGCTCGCCTTTTTGAAAGTCTAGCTAAGTCAGACTCCGGCCGAGTCTAGTCTCGCCCATCGCGTCACGATGCCGGCCGGCGTCCCCTGGGGCCCCTACCTGCGGTTCGTCTCCGCAGCCATGCTGACAATGTTCGTCGGCGCTCAGTGCGTTCACTTGGTGTACCGACCGATGGACGATCTGCCGGAGTACATCGAGCTGGAGCGACAGCGCCGGATGGCGGCTGGGGAGCTCGTGGGGGCCGGGGGCCGGACCGGAGGGGAGGGCGGTGACCTGAGATGAGCGATTCACGGCTCATGATGTATGTGAGGTGTGCAATGAGAGGTGAGACGATGTGTCGGGAGTTCAGGCAAGGTCGTTTTTAATGACATAGTGGCTTGCCTAAGTGTAAGGTTGGCGATTTTAGAGTGATAAGAGCTAATGCCTAATAAGACCGACTGCAATGCGTTATTTGTTGCCAAATGCAGTTCAAGTGGTCCAAGCATCGTTTGCACACTCTGCGCCGATTGACGGACTAAAATGGGCCAGTGTCGGATTGAGCACACCGTTGCCTTCTCAGGTCCACCTCACCCCTTTAACACTAGCCACTCGGTACTCGGACAAGTCAGAGTAAACACACGCCGCTGTTGGTAACCCATCACGCGGTATATTCAATCGCACGACGATCAAATAATCACCACATCATATACATTGTGCCAGTACACCAATGGCATATCAGACAATGCGATGGAAAATTTATCAAATCTACAACAATCTACTTGGCCATTAATTTGCATCCATGCATAATTCATCACACAGCAATGAAACTTGACAAAATAAAATATACTATACAAAATACAACGCCGTGTAAAATAAACATCAAGCAACAGTTCGGAAAACTGAACAAAGTATTATGCTTTATATATCAATCATACCCCACTCATGATAACGAATACCATTGAAAATCAAAAGGACAGATGGAAAATGTGTAACCATGCACAATCTCGGTAGCTCAGTCATTCTCCGGTTACAAATCATCCCATCATGGGAGGGTCAAGAGCTGATGCCGTGAGGAAATGTCCACGTCATTCAAGCCGCACACCAAATTTAAATAGTTCCGCATGATTTAACCGTCAAGTTCGCCGGTAGACACCAGAGTACCCAGGAACGGTCGTGCTGTGCGCGTTACACCCGCACCGCAAACCGCGACGTGTGAGGACCGATCGTGACTTCGACAAAATTCAGAGGAGAGGTCCCGTCAGCCCGATACCCGAACCCAAACGGCGCAGAAACGCTGTGCGTCACATACGTCACACGTGGACCAGGCGCGCCACAGACGCCACAAACGGCAGTACACCGCACCGCCTGAATTTGTACACAACCTCCGGAAAGGCACGGTCCAGTGTCCCCCACTGGCCCCCACACCACCCCCCGACCCAGCGACAGCGGACATTATATACCTCCCCTGGGCCGCCGGGGAGGCGCCGAATCGGACCAGCCGCAGAGACGTCATCGCAACGACAGATCGCCAGTTACAGCGGCAGACCCGACCCACCCCCACCGACGGCGTCACACCAGACGCCAGCCCTGGAGCAAGTAAAACCCAATGGCGCCGCCACGGAATCACGTCAAACACAGCTGATCATTAGCAGCCGTCCTCCAATGACGTCAAAACCTGTCCTCCAGTGACGTCAGACCTCTCCCACCACGCTACTACATGATGATGCGGGGCTCGGAGACGGAGGCGGCTATCGACTTGTGCGGCAGCACGATGCCGCCGTTGACGTAGATCTCGTCCTGGACGATGACGTCCTCGCCGAGTACGGTGACGTTCTCCATGCGAACCTGCGGGAGAGGAGGGGTCAGGGGGGCGACACGGCTATTCGCGCAATGTATTCAGTTATGGGCCGCGCGGGGCCTCGCGATGACGCGGCTGGAGGCAACTGCTCAGCGCGCTAGGATACTTCTGGCGGGGCCGGGCGCTGAACGGTGTGCAATGAATGGGTTATGGGCGGGCGGACAGAGATAAGGTATTGAATTTGAATTGACATCAGCAATCGGGTGGGGAGGGAGAACGTTTCTAATCGAGCTTGGGATGGGGAAAGCCGAAAATGTCACGATCGGATCATAGCTCCGACAGGGCCGGGTGCCGTACCATGTGTAGTATATTTAGGCGGGCAGACAGAGATCAGTTATTGGATTTAAATTCACCTTACCATCGGTTTCTGGTGGTGTTTGAAGACGTTTTTAGTCAAGCTCGGGGTCGGGCAACCCACTGGCGGATCCAGGGGAAGGCATTTGGGGCAAATGTCTTCCCCCACAATCGGGGCAGCGCCCGAAATCGCTTTTCGAGAATAAAAGAAAACTTCACAACTATTCTGAGGAAATGTTGGTTAATCACACTGCACAGCAGTGCGCAAGAAATCGAAATCCGAGCTTCTTTTTTTAAATTAATTCGGAAAAAAAAACTTTTTGAGGTTAGCCCCCGCAGTGTCCAAGACCGCTTCCTTATCCGCCAGTTGTGAATAAGTCTGAATGAAGTCACGGTCGATACCGAGCTTCGGCGGGACCAGGCGCCGCATACGTTGTACGTACCTACGTACCTACAATGAAAAGGCGGACAGACTCCTGACCCCACATCCTACTGCTGTGACCCGTGCTTCTGTGGGTGAAGCACTGAAGCATCACGGAATCCCACAGGACCTGCGAGTCGACGAGGTGGCCGCTTTGGCCGCCGGGTACTGCAGCTCCCTGGAGTTGCCTGGGACCGATGGTAAAACAGCAGCTCCGGCGGTGCCCCTATGAGCCGTAATAATTAGTGAATTCCCGTAATGTAGAGATCATATCCTCAATGATTTCCATTACGGTTTTATATTCCTAAGCAATATGACAGACCAATTATGCTTGCCTACGTAATCAGGCATTACCTCTGATGGTTAAACGCTCAGTACAACATGCGTTGTCTGTCAAACAACAATCGACGATGGGATCCTTTCTCGAATCATCTCTTAAACCATCGGTTGTCGATTCACCCACCCCGTTTCCCTAAAAATAGACGGTCAGATTCGGCCTGGGTCCTTACGAGTTACGACCCCTCTGGATTCGCCAGAGACGGGATCGGGTCGCCGTTATTGCACTCGTCTTAGTGTCTTTAGATACATACAGCTTCGACCATGGACGTCGGACGGAGTGATCGTTCTACGAATGTACGCACCATCCAGGCCTAGGATGCATCGAGGTTTATAAGACTGCAGTCTGTAGATCAATCAGCATAACAATGGTGGTATGCAACCACATTAGAAGATCTCTCCGGCTCCCGCAACGTTCCAACGCCCCTCCTTTATGCATTCGCCCGATGTGTCCGCCGAGCCGGCTTGCCTCCAATGACGTCATCGGCCGGCCGGCGGCGTTCAAGGTCAAACGGCTGGTGTCCTTACCTGGAGTTCTATAGCCTTGGGAGGGGTCAGAAACCGGGGACGAGATCGGGGAGGGGCGTACGGGAACGGTTGGTAAGGTACAACTGGGACAAATAGTTCAACAGTCTCCAGTTGCAACATATCAAGGTTTGTAAGTCGTTTGCAGTCGAATAGCTATAACATTCTGGATTGAAGATTCATGCGACAGGTCCTTTTTTCCTTTCTTGTAGGTCTAAATTATTAGTAAAGTTATCTTGCATTGAGCTCGCTGAGGGCTTTGTAGTGGCCTATTTTGGTGCTGATAGAGGTCAATGACATGCCGCGTTGTTGGAATTTTGGATGGACGCTTCCGAAACTGCAGATGTTAAACGCCCCTTTGCTATATCGCGGTCTCCCACCACGCCTACAATTCCCACCATCTCGCCAACTCTCACCCATCGTCCTACGACGCAGCGCCAGCCGACGATCGAGTTCTCGATCCACGAGTGCGATTTGATGTGGGCTCCTCGCATCACGGTGGCGCGCTTGATGCGCACACCGTCCTCGATAATGACGTCCGGCCCGATGGTGACGTTCGGGCCGATCTTGCAGTTCTTGCCTATCCGCGCCGTAGGGTCCTGGAGCGAGGACCAGAGGTCAGAACGGTCAGGGGGGGGAGCATTCATATACTCCACAAATCATATATGCCACAGCAGAAATTGTAGGTTGTAGGTTGTATGTAAGGTTAGATCAAGTTAGATTACGTTTTTTTCTATATTAACTGTGGAAAGACGTTAACTGCGACGATCGTGGCACGTGTAACTTCGTGGTACACTCGATATACAGTATACACCCTGCTAGTTGCCAGGGGGAGGTTAATAAAAATACAATACTGCTCCATACACAGCCCAGCCCAAATCCTCTTTTCTCATCCACACCCTGAACCGCTCGGTCCCCCGCTCGGCACTCACCACCATCACCCCGCTGGCCACGCCGTCCCCCTTGTACAGCAGCGACGGATCCTTGGTCTTGAGCGACGTCAGGTACATGCACATGCCGGTGAGGAAGTCCTTGGGCTGTCCGACGTCCATCCAGAAGCCCTGCAGCTCGAAGCTGAACAGATTACCGTCCTCGGCCATCACGGGGAAGATCTCCTTCTCGATGCTGGTCGGACGCAGCTGGACGCGAGGCGGGAAACGGTACAGGTTAGGTTAACATAGACACAGAGTGGTGGGTCATGGGTGGGAGCTAAAGGCAGATAGCTTGCAAGCAGCTGCAGAGGAAGATATACAAATAAGTCATATCTTCTATTAATATCACATGGCGACGAAGCATTGTTTTCACGAGAAGCACCCGTAAATAAACAACGCTGGCGTATAAGAGACTGATCGGCTACTGATCGGTGCATTATGTCGTCATTGACGAACAGCTTCTGCTTTCCCTGCCTGTCACAACTCACCTGAATTCTGTCCAGGATCGATGTGTTGAAGATGTACAGTCCGGCGTTAATTTTGTTGGAAACAAACTCCTGCGGCTTCTCGACGAACCGCTCAATGCGGCCTCTCTCGTCGTAGCAGACAACACCGTATTTAGAGGGCTCCTCGACCTTGGTCACCTGTGGTGGCAGAGTGAGGGCACGGGTCAGCAAACGCAAAGGTTGGGTTGGGTTGAGTGGCATGCAAGGACAAATTTGCAATACGTTTAGATTTCTCGATGCGTCTATATCTACTCGCGGTCTAAGCAAAACAGAAAACAGCAACTAGGCCATAACCGTAATCAAATGTAACCAAACATGCGTGGCATTCGGTTTTCAAATCGAAGACAAACCTTATACAACGACACTTCAAAGACTTTAATCAATAAATGACGCAACAGCATGATCCTCCATCAGTGGCCTACACCGACGCTGCACCAGCGCTCTTCACCAGCGCCACACTCACCACAATGGTGCCCTCCTTGCCGTGGTTGCGGTGGAAGCTGACCATATCCCTGAACGGAAAGTTGCAGATGATGTCCGAGTTGAGCACGAAGAACGGCTCGTCGTTGGAAGCCAGGATGTCCCTGGCCAGGGCCAGCGGGCCGGCCGTGCCCAGCGGCTCTGTCTCCAGCGAGAACGTGATCTGGACACCCAGCTGTGAACAGAGGGGGTGGGTGATACCGGGTTAGATTTATGGTGTTGGAGACAATAAAGGTTCATCGCAAGCATATGCACTATGCAGTATGCGCTGTATGCACTATGCTGCATACTCTGTGTTTAAAAGGCGACAAATTTTCAAACATTTTGTTTTTTCATGCCTCACAAGACAAATATGACAGCAATGGACAACAATTACTTTATTACGAATAAACATGAGACTGACATGCCTGTTTTTTTTTTCAGATGTCGCACACTTGTGGGAAGTGAACAGGTGTTCGGCCTTGTCGGCTCAGAAATGGTTCCTATGAGCACCACGGAGGGACAAGGGCAATATACATACGTCGATTCGTGTGCTGACAACAAGTTTTGCTAATTTTTGTTTGCCTAGCTTTGGAATGTCTCGGATTACACGATATGTTCGGGTACTGACATGACAAAACACAAGCATTTCGTCATGAAAGCGTGGACACTCGCAAAATGCCTCCTGTGCTTTTTTACACGCTGGGTGTTTAGTGTGCCATTTGTGACATTCCGGGGATTATAAGGACTACGAAAGGTGGAATGATGTGACGTTATTCTGGTAAGCATGAGACGATCAACCTTGGTGACGCTTTCTTACGTCACGCATTTTTCAAATATGCTTACCAAATAACAATACGTCGATGATCTATCAGCTAACAACTAACAAGCCCATAACGTTTCACCATATGCTCTAAATATAACGGAGTTCCGGCAGTTAGCACTATGACGCAGTTGTCCTGCACAATCTCAAGGAGCCCACTGGCGGCTCGAGGTCAATGAGGGGACCGTAAATGAGTCATGAAACGCGCCGCCAAAATAAGGCCTCCTCGGGGATAACGGGGACATTTAAGACGTGATCAAATGCTGCGATTTCGCCCAGACATCAAGCTATCAGCGAAGGAAGTTGTCAATCTAGACAACTTCAAGATAATAAGTACGGGTAATCAAAGTAAAGTTTTGAAAAAGGTCCAAGCTTTCTGGAGGCGGATTCCATTGAAGTACACAACTAAATTTCAGCAAATTAAAAGCATGAATCCTGCGTCTGCGCAGCTCCAATTTTTACCGTACGACATAATAATAGTATCAGGCGACATTCGAGAGAATTCCAACTGACTCAAGCACGCCCGGGTAATCAGTAGCTGCACCGTTGTTTCGTAACGGCGCACCCTGCGTTATCGGTGCTGCGCCTGTTATCGGTACTGGTTCCGAGTCCCCGAGCGAATGGCGTCATTCAGCTGGAGTTCGCGTTGCCGACGTGAGACCATGAAATCAGCCCGGCGTCACAGCTCATGGCGCGACAGCCACCACCGGGGTACACAAGAAGGACATCCTATTTTGGACAGAGCAGGATATACACTGATGATCCGGGCGCAGGGCACAGTTCAGAGCCGACGCTCCAGGGCTGCCGAGTAACACAAACACAGCTGTGCTGAGTGAGCGGAACAAAACGCGATGTGATCTGCGACGCACACCCCATGACACCACAATAACCGACAACTAACTGGCCGAAGCTGAAATTCATGACGTGTCAGCTGCTTTATACATAATCCGAACCCAGGCTGATAAAACCACTACCTAGTGATTATGAATCCTACATTCTGGGGTTTCTCTTGGAACGCTCAAATGGCCGAAGACGAGGAATAGGTATTGCGTCCACCGCGCCATTTACAACGGGACCCTCGATTCGACACCCAACTGTATGCATTCCAATTTAGAAATCACTGGCCATGAATCATGATAGTGCCATGCCGCACCGAACTGCAACAGCTCAACTCCGCTGACGAAGTAAGGTCTAAGTGGATTTTTCCGTACCTCCGACGTTGTATGGCGCAGTCCGCCCCGACGCGTCTCCGATACCCACCTTTTCGGCCTCCTGCCGGAGCTCCTGCTCCATCTGCTCTGCCCGGTACGAGACGGCCAGCACCACGTGCGACACGCCCGCGTCCACCAGCGCCTCTGAGGATAAAATAGGTACAAGTGTGAGGTCATACCGCATGTCGACAACGTACAGACGAGTGAGGAAGAACACCGCGTCCACCAGCGCCTCCCGAGGACGGGCGTGAGGGTATACGCAGCGTCTCTTAGAACGGGCGTGTGCCTGTGGTCATACGCAGTTACGGAAGGTTTTCGTCAGGGCACCGCCAGTGCCGACAAAAATGCCCACTATCGTACTCAGAAATGGCTGATAAAATAGAATAGTTACATAAATACTTTTCTTCGATAATACTCATAACACGGGTCTACATTTAAATACGTTCATAAGTCCATCGGGAAATGTGACAAACGCACAAAAATCGAAGCAATAAGTCATGTGCGAGTGAAAGTAAAAAATGTCCCAAAGACTGCATCAATGACGGACTCAGGACTGAGTACTCTGTCCGTCCCCCCCCCCCCCCCCCCGGCGCCAACAAACCGACTGAGCGCCGGACGCGGCCCATTTCTCACCGATCATGTGCAGGACGAGCGGCTTGTTGGCGAACTCGACCAGCGGCTTGGGCCGCGACAGCGTCAGCGGGCGGAGACGCGTGCCGAACCCGCCCACCAGAATCAGCGCCTTCATGTTCATCAAATTCTCAGCTGGCCACAGGGAGAGCACACAGTCAGAGAGACAGCTCATAGCGGACGTACGAGGTGAACGGCAGGGAGGGCTGGTAAAGCCAGTAGGATTTTAGGGCTTTTAGGGCATAAAATTACCAGAGCTGCCATAACTCAAAGAGCATTATCAAAATTACTCATTCTGAGTTCCATTCTCAGTAATAATGCATTGCATATCACTAGATGGTGAACTGGAAATGCAACAAACTATTAGCAAAAACAAAAACTCTAGTTGAGTGCAAATTAATGCCTGAAAGGGACATTTCCAGCACTATATGATATCGATCAATCAGTAATCAAGTCGAGGCACAACAGAAGCACACAATGGATAACAAAAAACTAAGACAAAACACCAAAACATACCTTTTTGTGGTTCAGCCTGAGGAGCCATGGTGAAGCAGCCAGTCAATCCTTGACTTCCTGAATAATATGTGAACTGCTATGAAGCAAAAGCAAGCACTGCAACAACACAAATACAGCTCTAACAATCATTGCTCCTTGACTGAATATTGCATGCAAAAAAGCATTCACACAAGCCAGTTGTGCAATGCAAACTTCAACATGCTCTAAGACAAAAGATCAAATGTGTTAGGGCATGGGACAACTTCATGGAGGCAAATAGTGCATGGAATCAGTTCATTGTGAAGGAAGGTGTTGAATAATATGTTTCCCTGAAAATGCAGGACAAATCAATTACAGCTTATGAGGAGAAATGAATCTGTAACGATCTGTAATAACATGATTCAAGCATATCTGAGCAGCTGAATTGACTAAAATATTAGGTGTGACATATCTAATTGAATTACCAACTAAACCTTCAAAACCAATTTTGGATCAGTGATATGGGACTGGGACTAGCTTTCCTAAGGCATGCTTCAGCTTGCTTCTTATACTACCAGATGATTGCAGTTTTGGATGCATACTCACTCCTGACTCCTATGTTGTACAGGTAGTCTTGGATAGGTAAATCAGGATGGTGAGCAGAGATCAACTGAAGCAGGCACAAAACTCCAAAGTCCAAAACTATGACTTAATTGCTTGTAATTCATTGCATGACTAAAACCAAAGCACATGCAACCAAGAAGCTTGTGTGTGATAAATCCATAATAGGCCATATAGGTGCAACCTCTTTAAGTTGAGCTGACTTACCTACCTAACCGCTGATAAATGTAGTTTGATGCAATGAGGTACGTAGGTCACAGTAGCTCAAGTTTGCTGTCTGATCAATTCAAGCAGTATTTCCTTGATAATTGATACAGGCTGCCCAAATGTGCTTCTGGAAGTAAGGAAACAATGTTAGCCAAATGAAAATGTTATCAAGAATCAATCAAGATGGCAATAAGAGCATAAATAAATGACTCATATTGATATTTCAACAACAGACTCCAACTCTGACTGCCGGTAGGTATGGGGGGTAATGGCTCATGCCAAAGGTGGCAGTGATCTCTCTGTTTTTAGGGCCTTGCTTCTCTGAAAACAACGCAGTTGTCACTGCCAACTAGTTGCTGTTGCCATTATTCAAATCAACAAATACACCGCCCACCAACTCAAATCCCTTCCCTACCTACCTATGTCCATACCTACCTACCGTCTGCGCTCAAGTTTGTATCTGAGGGCGTACTCAAGAATCATGGGGCTACGCTTTCTAAGAAGAAAACAGTTACGTTACTCCACCTGTTCAAAAATAAGCGATGATGCACGCTATCGCTGAAAAAAATGGATAAATATCTTATAGAAACACTGCAATTTGGAACACTTTTAGTTTCTTAAATGTAAATATACAAATTATTTGCGTCCTAAGAATGCCGAATACTCGAATGAAAGCTTTCAAAACTTTCCCGCTATCTGCTTGTGATAGCCGCTTACAGTGATTAGAACAATATTTTTTTGGCGCAGTGTCGACAAATCTGATCGACGCATTCCGACGTTTGTTGTGGTTTGTTGTGCGTTACGATGTAAACAAACCACTTAGACGAAGCGTTTAATGGGGATTACAGGCTGATTTTTTTTTAAGTTTTTCATTTTTACCGAGCAGAAAGGTAAGCCGATGGTCCATCAACTTTTACTCACGATTTGTTGTTTACACGATACACATAATTGACATGTTATTGATATTGATATCTAAAAAAATCAGTTTCAACTTTCAGGCTTCAGCTCGTACAAAGTTACACAACAAAGAAACTCTGTCGTAACTTGTAAGATAAGCAATTAGTCTACACAATACACATTGAAATTCTAGTCATGTTTGGGTCCATTATTATACAAAATTTGGATATAGCAGGGACACTTTTCCCTTTGAGGCTGTCTAATTTTCAAAAGCTCCTCATGCTCATGCCTTCTGCCTCGTTGGGTGACGCCCGGCCGTTTTGCCATGTAAATAAGGTTAAGAAAGCGTCTTGATGTTTTTCATTTTATGTGATATAATTTATACAATTTCAGCAACATTGGCTGATGCCTGGGTAAAGGGGGAATTCCTCATTCATTCATAACTCAATCTATCAGCACTTGTAGGTTGGAAATGTTTATTTATTTAAGCCAACAAGTGCAATGGAATCATATTTTGTTCTACAATTTTGCTGTCCTCAAGATAGTGCCTCAGGTTAAATTGGTTTGATTATTGAATTTGATTTATTTATTATATTTCATGAAAGTGTCTTGATATAATTGAATTTGACAAATATTTGGCAAGATCCTCAGGTTTGGGCATATTTCCTAAATCAGGCAGACAGTAGATGATTTTTTTGTATATCCATCCTTTTTTCAAGTCCTCATGTATGGTGCACAGTGCACACTTGTTGAAAAGGATTGACATCAGGTTGCAGTTTTGTGACTTGTGCTTAGGTACTGAAGTTAATTCTTGTCCTTTGTCTAGTCAACTCATGTAGGTATCTGTCTATCTATGAATAAATATTTCCACGTTGTCCTCCCTGGCTCCACCCTCCCCCCATGATATGCTATTATAAGTTGATAAGGCAAAAAATGTTTATTTTCATTAATAAACATAGCATTGTCTGCAGCATCAGACTTTAATGCATAGGTTTGATCGAGCGCATCCAGTCGCAAACATCGACCTAAATGGTAAGCGATTCTCAACTGCATTGGGATCAACAAATTACATGTGGTTCACTGTAACCCTATTTCCCATTCACCCAAGGGAACCCGTAGGCCGTAGCCCGTCCAGCGTTTGTCCCCTTTGCGCTGTGCCGCGGCGCGCGGCGGTCGCCCCGTCCGCCGCCGCCGGTACCGACGCGCCGTCTATTTCTGTCACCGGGCGCCGGGCCGGGCACCGGGCCGCCAGCGGCCGCACCGCGCCGCCCCCGGCAGTCGGCGCCGCCCCGGCTGTGTCGCGAGCCGCGCGGAGAGCGCACTGTGTCGACCCGACCTGACCCGACCCGACCCGACCTGACCCGCCCGGAGAGGCGCCGCCATGGCCGCCGCCGCCTGTGGTAAGCTGGGTTGGCTCGCCGGCTGTTGTCGCCCTCGTTAACTCGCACATCGTCCCTGCTAGTTGATTATATGCGATGTGATTATTACTTATTCATATTTTCCTGTCTATTTTCTCTCCACTGGGAGGTAAATATCAGGGTAACTTATCGCCAGGCGTACTTCCGCCCGATGACCTTCCGTCGTCCTCGCTACGGCCCGCATCAGCCTCCCTCCCGCTGGTTCACAAACCCCTCTCCTCTCCTCGCCAAGTATGATGAGTTCATTGATGAGGCTGCCGGCGTCCAAAGCAAACAACGCAAGGCGGAGGGGTGGGACCGGAGTCAACAGAGGTCGACCGGAAGCCGCGGTGGGGACGGATGGAGTTGCCGATACAGCCATGGCTGGAGTGTGTCACTGGCGACCGGTGCCACCCCCTGCGTTGCCGACTACCAATATGTTTGGTGTCGTATGTCGGGCTCGGAATTCGAGAGGGGAGAACACTCCCTCTCCGGCACCCGTTCGGGCCATGAAGGACCGGCCGGCGTGCGCTACGCTCCCCTCCGCTGCGGCTCTCAGTTGCTATCACCCGTGAATCCGTTCTGTCTCCGTATCTCCAAACGGCGGTCGGCCAGTGTGCCGGTGTGCTCTGCTGAGTGCGCTTGGTGCTGGTGTTAGTCCCACGTGCCGTCTCAGCGTGGGCATCTGTGTTCTCAGCAGTGCCTGCTGATTGTGTTTCAGAGCGCGTCAAGTCCGGCAACTGGCTCGGCAGGCACAAGCGGTGCTCGTCGGAGCCTGCTGGAGACGATTCAGCGGACATCGCCCCGTGAGTGTTCAACGTTCACTGGTTAGCTCAGATCACCCACGGTCCCTTGGAGTTTGGGCTAGACTGACACAGACACCGGGACTTGGACACCGGGACACCAGGACTGTGTCATGCCAGTGTCCCAAAATTTGCCAGTTTGGGTGGGAAGTAACATCCAAATCAAAATAATTTTCCACTCTCACCTCCAATTTTCCAGAGCGATTTTTTCACTCCCTAGTTTACCAATTAAGAGCATATGCGTGCACTTCGTACCTCCCTCCATATTCGATTCAATGATCTTTTAAGGCAGCTCCCACATCCTCCAACACTCACAAATTAATTGTTGGTATCTGTTTTTTTGCTCTTTTTTGTACTCTTCTAACTGGCAATTTCCACTCTCAGCCCTCTTTATAGTGACGAATATTCCCCTCTGACACCCAAGCCAAAATATAATTTTGGGACACTGTGTCATACTGACTGTATCATACTGTCATACTGACGCAGACACCGGGGCTGGGCTGGGTCACTGGGGTAAGACAGCAGAAGCTGCGACTTTATTTTCATCCGGCAGGGTTGAGCAAATCACGTGCGGTATCTTCACTGTGTGTCGGAATGAGCGTCTCAAAGTTAAGCTCTCAGACGAGGCTTGCAATATCCCCTGAATAAGTTGTGGTATAGTGACCCTGGCATTTGCGGATTTCTCATCAGTGTTCGTTTCTTGCTCATCTGCGCAGGTGAGCCAGGACACCCGCTGATGACTGAGTAACCGTGTTTATTAGTGAACACGGTCGTGTTTGCGTACCGTCGCTTTTCTACACAAACGATGGAAAATTACGCTCACTTCTCAGTTAGCATTATTTGAAGCAGCCTGATTGATTGAATACCTTGCTGGCTTATTCACGTTTGATTAATTCACCAAACGATGTGCTTCGATGCTACCGACCATTGCACCATCGATTTGCATGCGAGGTTGTCAAAGCGATTCCGCAACTCTGGGTCTGTCGGCTGCTAAAAGCTGCGGCCTTGAATGAAAAAGAACCTGATTTCATGCTGCAAGTTTTGCTGCCACTGAGCTGTTGGTTACAACATACCTCGCAGCCAGAGTTTGGCAGGTGTCCAGCAATGAAAAGAGATTCACTTTCATGATCAGATCATCCAACAACTCTGTTACTCAAAAGAACTGCAACTGTGGTTGCTCATTCAGCACGCATGCGAGCGAGATGGTTCTCTTCGACGGCTGCTCCGATAATGGCAGGCGAAGCCACAACACGCGATCATCTGGCCGGCGCATGCTCTTGGCCTTGGGATTCGCACTGGGGTGAGACGGCACACACATCGTGTGTTCCACCGCTTCTGAAATCGAGCGGAGCCGAACTGGGCCGTGGCCAATAACAGCAGCGGCCGGCTCGGCCCTCTGGCCTCTCCCCGATCAACAATGGTGGTCCTCTGCCCTCACTGAGAGGCGCTAACGCTGGATGACCCACCGGGTTCTGAGACTCTGATACTCAGCTGATCCGCTGATAGGTTACTACCTGTGAGTTGAGATTATGTCTGCAGTTCCGATGATACCGTTTGCTGACTTCAGTTCCCTGGTGTTGTATTCAAGGGTTCCCCGTAGGCTCTAGGAACTCGAATGGTGTTGATCATCCCTTTTGTGCTGCGATCCTGACGTATGCAGCTGGCTGACTGTGAAAGCATTGCGTTGAGTGGTGCTGTCAGTGGTGCTCTCACCTGTGACAAGTGTAGCGTGGTGTACAATATTGTAAATATTGCGGGGCGCAGCGTTGTATTGTGGTTAGTTACATCTCCCCGAGGAACTAGGGCCGTGCCCGCGTTAGGTTGTATCCCCTCGTACTGCTGTGGCTATGACCGTACCGTGTTGTGTTTTATTCTGCTGTATCTCGCCGTGCTGCTTTGGCCGTAGCCGTGTTGTACCGCACTGTGTCGTACTGTGTTGTGCCGTATCTCCCCGTGCTGCTTTGGCCGTAGCCGTGTTGTACCGCACTGTGTCGTACTGTGTTGTGCCGTGTCTTCCCCGTGTGGCTGTGGCCGTGACCGTACCGCGCTGTGTCGTACTGTGTTGTGCCGTGTCTTCCCCGTGTGTTGTGGCCGTGACCGTGTTGTACCGCACTGTGTCGTACTGGTTGTGCCGTGTCTTCCCCGTGCTGCTTTGGCCGTAGCCGTGTTGTACCGTGCTGTGCTGTGTCGTACTGTGTTGTGCCGTGCCTCCCCGTGTGTTATGGCCGTAGCCGTGTTGTACCGCGCTGTGTCGTACCGGCGTGTTGTGCCGTATATTCCCCGTGTCGCTGTGGCCGTGACCGTGTCTTGCCGACCCAGAGTCTCGCGCCGTCTGACACTGCCACCGCCGCGGCAGTGCGGGGAATGGGGCCGCGCCGGCGCATTGTTGAACGGCCGCCAACCCCCGCGCCAGCTCAGCCCTCCGACCCAGAGGGCCGCCTCATAGAACACCGGCCGTAAATTCACAGCTCCGACAGCGGGTGGCTGCGAGGTTCTAAAGAATTTGCAGCTTGTCTTCCTTTTGGCATCATTCTGTATTGCAGTCTTCTCCATTTATGGAATGAAAGAAAAATGAAATTCATAGAATGTCTGCATCATAACATTGTTGATATGGTCTGGAATTCGGAGCACAGGTGACTACAACACGCGGCTACCAATGCAACACGCTCCGAGCCAACGATATCGAATCTCCGGCCAACCCGCACCGCACGGACAAACTCGCTGCGCCCGCCAGTCGAATGCTGGAAATCGTAGACCAGCGCCGTCCCTGGTGCGTCCCGTCCAGCAGTGCTCCCTGTCAGTGACAGCTGACAGCTGACAGCTCTGTGGGGAGGGTGGGTCCTGGCGCCGCAGCCCGGTGGATCGGCGCTGTCGGCCCAGCCAGCCAGCTCCGGCCGCGGGCGGTGTTTCTCTGCCTCACGGCTGCTGGCAGCGAGTCCCAGGGCCGCCGGCGTCACCCATACCAGGGCGCGCCGAGCTGTGAAAACAGCTACGGTGCTGTCTGTGAGACCTCAGCACTTATCGCTTAGAAGGCTCTCGTCCAGTCGTCGATTTCGCACCCCCCCCCCCCCCCCCCAACCGGTGCTATTTTCGCAACCTAATCCGCCGTCGCTCGCCGCTGTCCATGCAACACACGATCCCATCTGAGGATGACACAAACCTGGCAGCGGGCGGGCGTCGCCGCTGGATTTGGGACGCTGTGACAGCGAGCGGCGACTCTGGTCAACCCGAGTGACCCTGGTGAGAGGTCCACCCTGCCAGCACGCGCCGTCGGGGAGCGGCGGCTGGCGGCGCGGCTCGAATTACCGTGATTGTGAGCGTGTGCGAGTGGTAGGAGCGCGGCGCGTGAGATGGAATAATGGACGGTGTAGGGCGCCTTATACGATGCTAATTCAGCGTCGGTTTGCTTTTTGAAGACAGTGAACGGCACTGCTCCAGGAAAGTGTATCTTTAACTGCTACTGTACGACTGTATGGCTTGAAAGTTACATGGCCAGCAAAATAGCGATACTGACATTAGCTTTCGACAAGTTTATGGACATGGCGCAATTAATTAGGATCCAAACCGGGTGTAACGTTGTGTGACGTTGAAATTGGCCATGAAATCGATAATGTTACCAGAAACCGCTACACTGTTGGCGCCGTCACACTAACATTGACGTATCGTTGATGACATATATCGCAAGCATCGACATTTATGCCCTTGCTCTCAAATTGGCATAAACCGTTATTAACCCGCCTGCAGCATTGGACTCATCGATAATGTAACCAGTAACCGCTACACTTTTGGCGCCGTCCCACTAACCTGATCCAGAACGAGACGGATTAGCTTTGAAGGAAAAGTCTCACTGAGATAACGGCCCCTTTGCGGGATCCAAGTACAAGGCCATCAAGCTGAGTGGGCGGTAGGTATTGCGGGGATGTCCGCGAGGACTGGTATTCGTGATAATACCGGTATTGGCATGTGTGCCGACCTTGGTAGGCTACTCCAGGATGCCCGGTCACTTTCGCCCATCGTTTGGCCTTAGGCGTGCCTCCCGATCCTTGTGGTGGGACCAGCTGCATAGAAATCTTATGACAGTTGCACCAATTATGTGGCCTCAGTGATCTGGTACTCAGTGATCTGTACTAGCCGTGACTACATACATGTACCCTTAACGCTGGCACCGTCGCGTCGACCAAAATATGGTGGTTCTTCGTTCAAAGTGTTTTTCCAGCCTCAAAGCATACCTAATTGATCAACGACAAGCTGTGAAGTCGAAACCGGTCGGTGGTGTTCACTTTTCGTCTGCGCTGGGCACTGCAATGTTGTTGGCCTTATGCTGGTAGTCCAATGCCTTTGGATTCCCTTTTTACAATTTCCCTTTCATGTGAACTGTGAGAGATGACTTCAGATGTGAGGGACTACTTTCGCATCCATCACCAGCACCTTCATCAGACAGTATCAGAGTCCTCTGCCCTCGGTGACCACAGGGCTGGAGCCGTGGTCCGTCCCGGCGGTCGCCAGTGGCGGTGGCCTGTTTTATCATATTTTTAACCGCACCCGGGCCGGGCCGGGCTGGGACGGGGCCCGCTGGCCGCCGACCGTCCCCCGTCTGCCAAGAGAAGCGAGACGCCGCCGACGGCTCAGCTGCGGCCCTGCCAGCTGCCAGGGCGGCCGGTCGGTAGGTAGGCTGGTCGGTCGGTAGGCTGGTTGGTCTGGCTCTCCCTTCCCATCTGAAACTGAAAGTTCTGGTTTCTCGTGTCCCCTGCATCACCGAGTTGCGCCGTTAAAAGTCAATCCAAGATAGTTATACGAGTACTGACGGGAAAGCTATAATGTTCCAGCAAGATCGTTCAGTCGCCACACTCGCTGACACCTCTCGGAGCACCATAGGCGGCGGAACGGGGAGGGCACCGGGGCACCGTGCCCCCCTTTGCTTTTGGCATTTTAACGTTAGTCCTATGGGCGTTGCATGGAAAGAATGGGACCAAAAGTCGGCAGTGCCCCCCTTTAATTGAAGG